AGCCAGCTGTTATCCACCCACCTAGATGGAGTCAGCGTGGATGATTTAATTGTGTGGCAGTTTTAAAGTTTTGGGGTTTTTTTGCCTCTCTCCAGCCTGTTGATAAAGCAAGCATATGGCTCCCAGCACCTGTCCTGGGGCCCTTCCTACTGCCGTAATAGCTGTGGAAGTCCAAAATAAGAAACACCCTCCAGAGTATGTTTCTGGGCTAGATGAAAGACTTTTGTTGGAAGAGAAGACTGGCTGTACTTCTTTAACAACTTAGGTAGGTCTGCAGTCACTTCTAAAATTCCTTATCTACTTTTTTTCCCCTCCTTTTTTTTGGGTATTCATTACCCCATAAAGATTCCAACAGCAACTAGTGTAAATAGCTGGCAGGTAGAATGAGCCAGACTTCCACCTCCAAGCTACAGCACGCTTCTCTCTTCTTAATTTAAATTTTGTAATTTTTTGAAAGCAGCCAAAACTTCACACCCTTCCACTATGAATTACGAGGTTGGGCACATTAAGGTTTTGCCATCGTAAAACAGAGTTAAAAGTTGATGGGAGTTTGCCCTGGCAGATGGCAGCCTCCTCACTTCATCAGACTCACAGAATGGGTTGAGTCAGAAGGGACCTTTAAAGGTCTTCTAGGCCAACTCTCCCTGCCATGGACATCTTTCACTAGACCTGGTTGCTCAAAGCCCCATCCAACCTGGCCTCGAACACTTCCAACAATGGGGCATCCACAACTTCTCTGGGCAACCTGTTCTGTCTCACCACCCTCATCACAAAAAAATTTCTTCCTTATACCCAATCTAAACCCTACCCTCTTTCAGTTCAAAACTGTTACCCTTTGTCCTCAGGCCCTGGTAAAAAGTCTCTCTCTGTCTTTCTTATAAGCCTCCTTTATATACCGAAAAGCCACAATGAGGTCTCCTCGGAGCCTTCTCTTCTCCAGGCTGAACAACCCCAACTCTCTCAGCCTGTCTTCAGAGGACAGAGAGGTGCTCCAGCACTCTGACCATCTTTGTGGCCTCCTCTGGACTCGCTCCAGCAAGTCCAACATGGTGGGCTCCTGTGCAGGTAAATACCTTGTGTTACTTAAAGGGAAGATTATACTGCTTTCTAAATAGTCAGAGGGGAAAAGTCAATTTTATGCTTAGGAGAGCACTGTTAATGAACGCTTGGGTAATGATCTGATTGACTGCAAACCCAGTCTGCCTAGGAGCTGGAGGCTGGATGGTCACCCAAGGACAAACTTGCTGAACGTGCAGGGCCTGTTTGGCCACGGAAGCCTTGTTTACTGTCACGGGAGGGTCTCTGTGTGTGTGTAGACATGGTATCAGGCTCACCGGCACTGCAGTATCGCAGCTGGGCTCTGCACGCTAAGCACACGCCGAGCGAGGTCGGCAGCCCCAACAGCGGGCGGCTGCTTGGTTGTACCTTGTTTGCCAACGCAGTGCT